AAAAAAAAAAAAAAACGCAATTACTTTTGGTCAACCCAATAAATACGTGTGCGAATCTGTTATTTTTTGATGTACGAATTACAGAAATCAATTTGCAAAAGGAATTAATAAATACGCAGAGCAATTCATTGTGGTGGAAGTATACTGATAGGTATAATAATAGTGAATAAACCAACGCTAAAATCTTATTTTACAAGAAAGAGAAACTTGTACACTTCAATTTTTTCTAAAAACAGTATCTAAGGACCAATTTCTATTTGTATTGAAATTTTGACATTTTTCGCACAATGAGCAAGAAAAGTACGTATCGAGGAGCTACAAAATTGTATGTAAAATTTTTCAGAGGTCAATCCTAGTCCCTAATGTTGGACTATGTCCTAATTCAGGGGTGAGTAAATAGCGGCCCGCCAAGACAGTCAGAAAAATCCGCTTTGAACCAAGATTTCCTTCCCATGCGTGACCGAAGATTCGTCTCGTATTTTCCACTAGGATGGCCACGTCAATACGCATGCGCAGTGTAGATACGATGCATAATCTGGTTAATTTCCATTTTGTCTTTGCAACAGTAAATATATAAATTTCCAATTTTTGTGAGACCATGAACCCTCCGAAAAAACGTAAAATTGGTGATGAATGAAGAATGGACCCATCACTGCTGATATTGAGAAAAAGCTGCAGCTTGAACTTATTGACATGCAGTCAGATCACACTGTGAAAGGAATGTTTAATGTTTAATGCTGTGACATTAGTTGACTTTTACAAATCTTTGTCTGTTGAAAAATTTCCATGTATGAAGAAATTTGCTGAGAAAATCTGCTCTATATTTGAGTCTACATATATTTGTGAGCAAAGTTTTTCTTGCTTGAAGATCAACAAGAGTCGATATAGATGCTCTTTGACAGACATTAACTTGCAGGCTGTGATGAGGATCTCAACAAGCAATCTCACTGCTGATTTCAAAAAAATTGTAGAAAAGTGTGATAGGATACATTTGTCTCTGATTCTAAAATTAAAGCAGCTATAGATGATACGAAATTAGCACAACAAAATAAATTGAATGAAACTGCCACTATTTTATTTAATTAATATTAAATTAATTAATAATATTTATTGATTTCTATGGTACAATTTAGACCTTTTCTGAAATGCAAAGTTAACTAATGAATGCAATCATTTTAAAAGGTACGGTTCTCCGCTAACCTCCGCTTCCACAAAATGGCCCCTAATCTCTGTCCTAATTGATTCAATATCCCGATGTTTCCGAGATATACTATTCCGATTTTTAAATACCCATTACTTTTAGACTTTACTTACTATTTTAATGTTGAAACATTTGTATCACCGTACGGTAATGTAATATTGTAATTTAAAAACAAAAAATCGTTCAGTTGATATTTATAATGCGTAGATATAATAATAAAAATTAAAAAAAAAATATATCAACTAAATGAGATCGCCTAAATATTTCTGCTCTTTTCTGTTGTACAAAAAAAAATTCCTGACAAGGAATTGCACTATTTTAAGAGACAAACATAACGATGGAAATATTTTTTTTTTTTTCAATGATCATTTATTTACGAGATTTATTATTTGTATTTTCATATGTTTTAGATATTCTTGTAGAGCGTGAGAAAACGAATTCAACGACCCTAATAGAATCATTTTGTTCATTTGTTTTTGAGATATTTGTGTCTAAATATTGTATAATTAGAATCACTGGGCACGCGGTATTATGATTCGCGCATTCGAAAGCATACACTCGTAAGCAATTGTCATTAGAAAATATCTTTGAATTAATTCATTGGCTACAAGTATTCAAAATAATGGTCGTTTACTGCAATCCATTGTTGGAATCTTCTAAACAAATTGTGTATATGTGTACAATCTCACATACATTATTTAATTCCCGTGATGTGTGAATCAGTGTGTTGTGTGATTGGCGATAAGAAATTTTAATTACATTTAGACGCAAATATCTGAAAAATCAATAATCGGAATGGTATAGTTCTATAGGTCGTTTCACACTGTGAATTGATCACAAAAAAATAACTATGATCTTGAAATCTCGTAAATAAATGATCATTGAAATCTCTGACGTTACACTTACGAAGAATAATACCGAAGTTTTATGGGTAATTTAATATTTAGATATAATTTTTATAATTTAGATGAAAAATGTTCTTAAAATATATATTTTGTCGTTAAAAAAACCAAGTTCTACATGTTTCGTATTAAAATAACAATTTAAATCATTTCAATATAATTTATACACAAAAACCACTTTTCCCAGCTTTTTGATGTAAGCACTCAAGAGCCGTAGCGATTTTTCACATATTTTCGATTATCAGAGAATAAAATATTTCCGATAAAAACTAATTGGCATACGTCTACAAAAACCATGTATAAAATTTAAAAAAAAAAAAAAAATTTCTTTTCTCAACTTAAGTCATCTTGATTTCTTTTTAAATGTTAAAATGTATTTTTGACTTCGTAATATTGTAGCTGACGTTGAAATGAATTCGACGACCTATACATGTATATTATAACGTTGAGCATATAAATAACATTAAAATAATTTTTTCCGGCTTTTACGTACTAAATATATATTCCATGTGGGTCGACAACGATTATTATACCATACGACATTTCGTTTTCAAATTTGTCAATGACAACTCTCTCGACATACGTTTATTATAGAGAAGATCGATGTTAATTTATTCGAGATGAAAAATTTTTTATGACACAAGACCCAGGAGCTGAATTCTTGTTTGGTTTATTTGGGAAATTTTGAAACAATCTTGTCTTTATGGCTATGATACTTGTTTAATATTAACTGATAACATCAATTTATGGCTATGATACACACGATATGTAGTTCGTCTTTTTTAG